AAGGACAAACAGAGCAGGAGGAGGATGGGGAGAGTGGTACCCAGTGGCTGGCATCCATGAACATGTGTGTTCATACATGTGCATGCCCACATGTGTATGGGATGAGCTGCCCGGTGATCCAAGCTGGGTTGGGATGCTCTCACCCATGGAGCATCCAGTGGGAAGGCTCCCGCTCCTCGTCTTCCTCTCCATCATCCCGCATGGAGGAGCATGGAGCATGTGCTGGGATGCGCTGGGAGCTGCTTCCCGCATGGAGCCCGACCCCCCCACCACCATCCCCATTCCCAGCACTGGGATGAGCGGGAGAGCCCTCGCCTGCACGAGGGCTGTGGGGATGCGGGAGGGAGCGGGGTTTGTGCTGCATCCCAATGGCACCGTGAGGAGCCGGGAAGGGTGGGATGGAGCAGCTGGAGATTTACAGCCCCGGCTCGGCCCGAGGCCATTTGGCAGCACAGCTGCTGCCGGGGAGGCTCGATGCCAAAGGAATGGGATGAAGGGAATGGGGCCGGCCACCCTGGAATGCCGCGGGATCCACGTGCTGATGGCCTTTGTCCGCCTGCGGTGGGAAGGTCGGGATGCGGGGATGCAGGGATGGAGGAGGAGGTGATGCTGAGCGGGATGCGCTGGGGGGGCAGGCGGCTGGAGGCCGATTCCCAGCTCCTGGAGGCCGATTCCCGGCTCCTTGAGGCCGATCCCTGGCTCCTGGAGGCCGATTCCTGGCTCCTGGAGGCCGATTCCCGGCTCCTTGAGGCCGATTCCCGGCTCCTGGAGGCAGATTCCCGGCTCCTGGAGGCGATTCCCGGCTCCTGAGGCCGATTCCGGCTCCTGGAGGCGATTCCCGGCTCCTGGAGGCCGATTCCCGCTCCTGAGGCCGATTCCCGGCTCCTTGAGGCCGATTCCCGGCTCCTGGAGGCAGATTCCCGGCTCCTGGAGGCCGATTCCCGGCTCCTGGAGGCCGATTCCCGGCTCCTGGAGGCCGATTCCCGGCTCCTTGAGGCCGATTCCCGGCTCCTGGAGGCCGATTCCCGGCTCCTGGAGGCCGATCCCGCTCCTTGAGGCCCCGGCTCCTGGAGGCCGATTCCCGGCTCCTGGAGGCCGATTCCCGGCTCCTGGAGGCCGATTCCCGGCTCCTGGAGGCCGATTCCCGGCTCCTGGAGGCCGATTCCCGGCTCCTGGAGGCCGATTCCCGGCTCCTGGAGGCCGATTCCCGGCTCCTTGAGGCCGATTCCCGGCTCCTTGAGGCCGATTCCCGGCTCCTGGAGGCCGATTCCCGGCTCCTGGAGGCCGATTCCCGGCTCCTTGAGGCCGATTCCCGGCTCCTGGAGGCCGATTCCCGGCTCCTGGAGGCCGATTCCCGGCTCCTGGAGGCTGATTCCCAGCTCCTCGGCTCCTGGAGGCCGATTCCGGCTCCTTGAGGCCGATTCCCGGCTCCTTGAGGCCGATTCCCGGCTCCTGGAGGCCGATTCCCGGCTCCTGGAGGCCGATTCCCGGCTCCTGGAGGCCGATTCCCGGCTCCTGGAGGCCGATTCCCGGCTCCTGGAGGCCGATTCCCGGCTCCTGGAGGCAGATTCCCTGCTCCTTGAGGCTGATTCCCGGCTCCTGGAGGCCGATTCCCGGCTCCTGGAGGCCGATTCCCGGCTCCTGGAGGCCGATTCCCGGCTCCTGGAGGCCGATTCCAGGCTCCTTGAGGCCGATTCCCGGCTCCTGGAGGCCGATTCCCGGCTCCTGGAGGTCGATTCCCAGCTCCTTGAGGCCGATTCCCGGCTCCTGGAGGCCGATTCCTGGCTCCTGGAGGCCGATTCCCGGCTCCCAGCTGCCTGCTCATAAATCAGGGGCTCGCTCCGGCCGCCCCCTGCCATCTGCACAGGGGATGCTGAAGCAGGAGCAGGTAGAGCAATGGGAGCCGGGTGGGGGGCATGGAGCAGCACCAGGGCAGGGGCACTGCGGGGAGCAAGGGAGGCTCGGATCGAGCCTTGGAGTGGGAAGGAGATGATGCTTGGAAGCAAATGGAGCCCCTGGAGCAGGAGCGGCCCCCTCTGTGTCTGCTGGAATCCTGGATCTTGCCCCTTCCCATGCTCCAGGGCTGGGAGAAAGGCTCCTGGAGACAGTGGGGAGAGAGACTGAGGGAGGGATGGAGGGATGGATATATAGATGGATGGAGAGATAGAGGGAGGGATGGATGGAGAGATGGATAGAGGCATAGATAGATGGATAAAGGAATGGATAGAGGAATAGATGGATGGATAGAGGGGATGAATGAAGGATGGATGAAGGGAGGGTGAGATAGAGGGATAGACAGAGAGATGGATAGAGGCATGGATGGAGAGATAGACAGATGGATAGATGGATGGAAGGATGAACAGATAGAGGGAGGGATGGATGGAGAGATGGATAGAGGCATAGACAGATGGATAAAGGAATGGATAGAGGAATAGATGGATGGATAGAGGGGATGAATGAAGGACGGATAAAGGGAGGGATAAAGGGAGGGATAGAGGGAGGGATGGATAGAGGGATGGATGGAAGGATAGACAGATGGATAGAGGGATGGATGGAGGGACAAACAGATGGAGAGATGGATAGATAGATGGAAGGATGAACGGCTAGAGGGAGGGATGGATGGAGGAATGGATAGAGGCATATAGATGGATAAAGGAATGGATGGAGGAATAGATGGATGGATAGAGGGGATGAATGAAGGATGGATAAAGGAAGAGATAGAGGGATAGAGAGATGGATAGAGGGATGGATGGAGGGATAGACGAGATGGCTAGAGGGATGGATGGAGGGATGGCTAGAGGGATGGAAGGATGAACGGATAGAGGGAGGGATGGAGGGATAGACAGATGGATAGAGGGATAGAAGGGTGAAAGGATAGAGGGAGGGATGGAGGGATAGACAGATGGATAGAGGGATAGAAGGGTGAACGGATAGAGGGAGGGATGGAGGGATAGACAGATGGATAGAGGGATAGAAGGGTGAACGGATAGAGGGAGGGATGGGTAACACATGGTCTGTGGCACAGCTCCCTCCCACCTCAGGGCTGCAGCACAACCTCTCCCCAGCTCCTCTCCCACGGCCGAGGGACCAGGAGCCATGCACACACACGGAGGCACCCCCAACCTCACTGCTTCCCTTCCCAACCCCACAGCTCCGGGTCTCCTCCTTCCTGCTCCCACCATACCCAGAGCAGCCCCAAGACCCCCTGGGTACCAAACGCCAGCAGCAGGGAGGGCCGAGGGTGATGGGTGCAGGCGGTGACGCAGCGACAGGAGGCAAATACAGCGAGAGGAAATCTTTAATTTTCCAATCTCCACTTTTCCATTCTTAGAAACTGAAAAGGAAAAAAAAAAAACAACCCAAAAGAAAACCCCAAGAAAAGCCCATATATTACAAATCATCTGTACAGAGACAAAGGTTAAACCCAGCAAAGGCGCCTTTGGGCAAGAGGGGGGACTCAGGGAGGCTTTGAACCCTGGTGTGTGCAGAGGGGGAGAGGAGGGCAAGGGGGACCTCAGTGCTTGTGGGTCCTGCCCCACATCCTAGAGCCTTTTAACCCCCCCCCATCAATCCTTTTGTCTGCTTTGTACAGAGACCCTTTAAAAGGGGGAAAGGCAGCAGGGGAGAGCTGCCCCCCCCCACTCAAAGAGTCCTGCTGGGACCAGTTAACCCATTGGAGATGGAGGGAGAGGCCCTGCTTGGCTCCAATCTCACCTCCAGCTCCGATGCCGCCCCAGAGCAAGGGAAGGAGGTGGGGGGGGGGCCATCCTTTGCCGGGGGGCAGGAGCTTGTCTATGGGGTCACCTCTACCCCTGAGGGCATCCAGAGAGCCCCCCCTTAACCTGCCCCCACAAGTGGGGGGCACAGACAGGTCCGTGAGCTCCTTGAGAGGCTGATAGGGGAGGACAAGCGATGGGCATCGGCTTCCCAAGAGGATGCAGTGCTTGGAGCACGACTTCTCCTTCCAAACAGGATGGGTTTGGGAAGGGAAAAGCCATAACAGCAACAAAAGCTCCACTGCATCCCGGAGCTGGCATCGCATGGAGAGGGAACAGAGAGGACCCAAAGCCCTGCTTGGTTCAGTGCCTCCATCCCAGCTCCTCTGTTCTGGAGGGAACTTTGGAACTCAAAGGAAACCCAAATGAAACCAAACCCAATTCATTGAGCTGGGAATCCTGCATCCTCAGGGCTGGCTCAATGCTATGGAGCTCCTCATTGCTGTGCATGCAGCTGCACCACATGGACCAGAGCTGTTTCCTCTCCCTCCTTCCTCCCCTGCACAGGGCAGGCTACCCCCTAGGTCAAACAGCACCCATCCAGGTGCATTCCATCTGCCCTTCCCCTCCATACACAGACAGGAACTCAAACCCCACATAGAACAAGGTCTTACCCCCCTCTAAGACCCATCACCAACACCCCCAAGGTTTCCACACCTCGGATGCCCGTTGGCTCTCCAAGGAGGTTTTCCATAGGAAAGGCCTAATCAGGGACAAAAAAGCAGCTCATCCGTATGTACCTTGGTTTTATTCATCTCTTTTAAGTGTCATTGAGAGGGACAACAGCGCAGGGCTCTGCAGGAGGAGGGATTCCATCGTCGAGACTTCCTTGAACACAACAAAAATATATATATATATATATATATGCTTCTAGAAATGATGCAGGGATGCCTGGAAAAGCCTCCAAGGGCTGAGCTGCTGCTCCAATGTGGGGTTTGGAAGTTTCAAATGAGAAACAGGAATTGGGGAGCGAGGAGCTGGCTTCGGCTCTGGGATAAAGGAAAAGGAACAAAAGAACCCAAGACAATTCCCACTAGGAAGTTGCAGTAGGAAAGGTACAAACCCCCAAAGCCCATTGATTAAGGCTACAGTCAAGTGAGATGGACCCTGGAGCTCACAGCAATAGGATCAATTGAGGCCAAGCCAGTGCCCCATCCCAGCTCTCCAGAGCTGGGATACCCAATTCCCAGCAATAGATTCCCCTTTGTTTTTATTGGTTTCTTCTTTTAAAGGGAATTGGGAAGAAAAACCAAAATCCTCACTTTGGGAACCCATCTCCCCATAGCCCTATACCTGAACCCTGCGCTGCCCCCCCCCAGGGAAGCACTAGTGAGAGATTGAGTGATTTCCTATTTCCCTGTGCTTGGGTTTTGTTTCATTCCTCTTATTTGCAATGGATCCCCCCCCAACATGGAGGGCAGGAAGCTCACCCCCGCTTTGGGGGTTCAGGTCTGTCACTAAGCAAGCACAAAGGCACCCAAAGTGGGGACCCTCCAGCGAGTCCCGGGGTGCCCGGTGGCAGCCTAGCAAGGACTAACAACGGGGAGCGTTGCAGCAGCTGAAATGCAGAGGAGACCTTGCTCTGGGCCACAAACTCAAGTCATGGGGCTAAAAAGGTGGAGGTGAAGGAGGGGAGGACGAGGGCAGCTCAATAGGGAACCCCCCGGCCCCGTCCTCCCCGCGGAGGCACTCTGCCAGCCCCACGGAACGGCTTCCCATAGGAAGAGGTGGCTTGGGTTGGGGCACCCCAACTGTGACCTGTTCCTGCTCCGCTGGAAGCAGCCGGCCCCAGCTCGCTGTAGTTGTGGATTTTGGCCTCGGGATGGACCAGTGTGTTATTGCTCCCCTCGGATTTAGGGAAGGATTGGCCAACCGTGTGCACGGCGACGGGGCCGCGGGCGAAGCGGAGGTCCTGGTCCCCTGGGAACTGGACAGAGCCAGTGCCTTGGTAGCTGCTCGTCTCCCCGAGGTGGCTCACGGAGCCCAAGAAGGTCCTGCTTTTCCCCAGAGCCTGGGCTGAAGGTTCCAGGAGCGTCTGGCTTGAATTCAGCTCCTCGGTTCCAAAGCCACCCTCGGAGCTCTCGCTGCTGTAAGTCCTGGTGGGCCGGGATCTGCTGTAGTCGGTGGCTCTGGAAGCGGGATGCTCCTGCGGTGTGGGGCCGAGCGACTCCGTCTCTTGGTGGGAAAAGAGCTGCAGGAGAGCAGCGGTCACGGCCGGGTTCAGCTCCTGGGCTGCACTGGAGAGGTCGTCTTCGGAGAGAGGCGGCGGTGGCGGCGGTCCGGGGGGCTCGGGGGGTCTCTTCTCTGGTGGGACAACGCGAGGAGGACACGCTGTGGAAGGGTTACTGCTTTTAAACACCGGCTTACAACATCACCAAGAGATTTACCAACATTCTTCCCCCCCTCCCTCCCACCCCCCCCAAACCAGTCAATGGAGTTGGGATGCACTGGGAGGGATGGAGGAGCTGGCATTCAGAGGGGAGACCAAAGCACACAAAACATCCATGAGTTTCCTCTGTGCATCCAGTGGGCAACAGCTCCTCTAAGCCATGGGCACCCGTGGAAGGGATTCCTGCTCTTGGAGCAAAAGGATAATGCATGGATGGAGCTGTGCAACAGCACATGGGGTCGCTGCAGGGGGATGCTGTGGCCTTACTGCTTCGGTCCCAGGCTCACTGGTGCCTTCATAGTGAGGGACTGGTTTAGGAAAGCCACAAAGCCACACTGAAGGAGTGGGTACAACCTCTTGTGTCCACTTGCCCCCAAAGCACAGCAGCCCTTCTCCTGGGTTTTGTCATTTTCCAGCACAGAGCCCAAAGCCATCTCAACCCACAAATCCTTGAGTGCAACACACAAACTGCCCTGGAGCCTGAGAAACCCCTTTTGTCCCCATCCCCAACCCAGACCTGAAGCCACCAAGATTTCTGTTTCAAGAGGACTTGTTCTCTCCTAGCAAGAACAAGAGCACCCTTCACACCCCGTCACCACGTTCTCACTGCTTTGTGTTACTGCTTTTGAGGCAGCAGAACAACAAAGCAGCCTGGTTAGGTGCTGGGTAAGACCAAAGCTCTGGCTCTCCCCTTGCTAAGTGCAAGCAGCAAGGGGACAACATGGGACACGACCTGCTCCCAGCAACCCATCCTGACTCCTGCAGAGCAACACAACTGAACTGCCTCGACCTCCCGTCCAGCCACCAGGCTCAGCTACCCCATGATGCAAGGTCTTACTGGCGATGACACAAGAGGCCACAAACACCTTTGTTTGAATCAGATCCTCAAATCATGTGCAAAACTGGTTATTAAAAAGGTCAAACTTTATTGTGAAAACCAGTAGTCTTCCAGGACCACCCCTCCACCCATCAGTCCGCTTTAAAACTAGATTGTATTGTAATCCAGAAAACAATCTTCAGGTCATTTGGGAAGCCAAGCCGATTGGGGGGACAGCATCTCCTTTAAAATCGTTATAAACAGAACACAAGGTTATTGAATTGAAGCTGCTCTACAAGAACCTAGTTATCTTCCAGGACTAGGGCAGGAAGAGAAAAGAACCAGGAAAGACAAGCACGGTCACAACTGGCTCGTGGTGGGCGGGTGTGTCGAAGGCACGAGAACACAGCACGTTCAGCTACATTGCAGAGGAGTTGTGTATCTGGCCAAAAGAGGCTCCCTTGGAGAGTCTGAGACATACCCAGGAGGTGCTCCTAGAATTTGGTGAGGTCGTCACGGGAGGTTGCTAATAAAGCCAAAAAAGCAACAGAAACAAGAGACATGGAGACATTTACACTCACCTTCGGAAAGGAAATCCAAGCGGTCACTGATACAAACAGCTCTTGTCAACATGCCTCCTACCTGCTCTACAAGAACCAGGGGAGCTCAGCTTTGGATGGCAGGACTCAAGCCAAGTCTGCTCCAAGCTGGATGCACCAGTCGCTGTTGGACCCAACTGCCACTGTCCCCCTCCCTTCCAGCACTCACTCGCCACTACTTCAGTTCTTGTGCTCTTCAAAAGCATCTCTGCACGTTTCTCTTTATTTCCTTCTCTTTCTTTTTTAGGAGGGCAGGAAGGGAACAGTGAAAGAAGACTTGGGATAAGCAGCAAGATGGGAAAACCAGCAGGAATTCCACGTCCTGGGTGAAAAACCCACCTGAATGTGTAAACTGATTCTTAGGGGTGCTGGAGGAAGAACTGAACCTCTTGAGTTTCCCTTTCATTTCTGAGCAAACCCCAAAACCTTTCATTTCCACTGATGGAGCACTACTGGATTTGATATGCTTTGGGGATGTGAAGCAGAGAAGGCAGTATTGCCATGTTCTGGCTTGCTGCAGTTGTTAAAACCTCCTGAGCACTTACTGCAGGGAGTAGGTCAGTGTCTGCCTCAGTCTTGGAATGTTGCCCCCATTCTGGCACCCAGCACCTCTCCTCTTCCCACCCACAGCCCCTGCTCCCTCTGTCACCACCTCTCAGCTCCTCCTGGCTGCAGATGAACTAGAGGCCCTCACGTGGAACACTTGAACTGCTCAAACAAGAGTGTGGCATCCCAGATGCACGAGCAACGGGCACGTTATTTACCTGTACTCTCCTCCGGCTGCACTGTCGGGGTTTTCCTCGGCCCCCGTTGCTCACTGCTCTTCTCCCCGTTGCTCTCCTCCAGGGTCAGAACAGGCTCCTGGCTCTTCATCAGCTGACTCAGCAGAACAGCCAGCACGTTCTGCATGTCTCCCTGAGCACTGGCTGCTTCTGGAGTCGCCTGCTCCTCCGGTAGCTGCGCCTCTGCGGGTGGCTCCTCTATGGCTTCCTCTGCTGCTGCTGCCTGAGACTCCTGCTGCTGCGTGGTGGCTTCTGTCAGAGCATTGATGGACTGGTTGAGAGCTTCCAGCTGCTGCTGCATCTCTGGGTTTGAGTGAACGTTCAACAGCTGGGCCATCTGTGGGACGCTCAGGTCAGTCTGGCTCTGCAGCAAGTTCAGTAAAACAGCCAGTTCGCTCTGATTCAGCTGCTGGGTGATCTCTCCAAGGCCTGCTGGAAACACAAGGAGCATCACAGGGAGGTTACACAGAGCTACATCACATCAGCCTGTACCCCTGACACTGCACACCTCCTCCTCTGTGACCCCGTGCTGGGGGGAAAGCAGGGAGGCTCCGGGAGGAGGATTCCAGGATGGGTTTGCTCAGCTTGCCCCCTCCATCCTGCCATCAGCTCTGACAGCACTGCAGCAGCACCCCGTGGCACTGTGCACACACTGCACTCACCCGAGGTTCAGCTGCGTGCTCTGGGAAGCTTCCTCACAGCCCTCTCAGAGCCAGCAGCACACGTGGCTGCTGCATAAACCGAGCTCAGCTGAGCCAGACCTCCCTGCCTGAGCATCCCAGGGAGCAGACTGGTGAGCAAGGGCAGCACCAGTTACAGCAGCCAGGTTGAGGACGTGTGATGACCACAGAAACCCCCAGCCCACCTCAGTGGCAATCAGAGCAGCACATCTGAGAGCAGCTCAGCCCCTCCTGCAGCATTCCATGGATGAACAGCACTCCCTATGCACTGGGAAGCAGGTTTCTCGGGATGAAGCTGAGCTGCTCTTTGGGATGGAGAAAGGGTGTGTTCCCCTGACACAGCAAAAGAAATTAGGTCAAGCAGAAGGCAATTCCTTGCTGAAAACTGGTCTGGGATCATAGGAGACTGTCCTGACCTGCAAGTATCCAGGTTAGTCTGAAACACAACCCTCGAGTGGCATCACCTCCCTCTGCACCATGCTGGAGCAGAGCCTCCCGAGTGACAAGTGCCAACGCTGCCCCTTCACACTGCCACTGCCTTTGTAAGGCAAGCTTTTAGGGCAGAAAGCTGCAAAGGTTTGGGTTTAGAAGCTTAAAACGAAGCTCCTCTTGCTGGTAGGCAACTAAGAACACAACACTCACTTTCCTCAGCTGCTTTTTAATCCAACCACCACCTTTTGTCCATCTGCCATGTTTCATTGAACACATGGATTGTGCATTCCCTGGAGCAAGAACTGTCTTCCCCATTACTTGTCAGCACAACATCTGAGACAAAGAAAGCTTTAGCTGTATCTGGGTTTTTATAAGGCTTCTATAGAACAATCAGCATGGTCTGGGGAGCTTTGCATAGCTCTGCATTGCCAGGAATCAAGATACCTCCCCTCCAACTCAACAGGAAGGTTGGTCACGCTTTTAGAAACCTGGTCCTGCAAGCCTCTATGACCAAGGGATCCTGCCTGCACTAAGCAGAGTGTAATACTGTACACTTGCACCCATCAGCCACTAGCTTGAGAGATCCCATGCCTCAGCTTTATGGAGTTCAGCTCATTTGCACACCCTGTACACGGCTGCACCTTCCAGCCTATGGTCTGGTACTTCAGTGACTCAGTAAGTCCTTCCATTCATCTCTGTGGAAGCACGTTTCAGAACCAACCTAGGACAAATTCACAGCTCATCAGCAAGAGATCCCTGAGGAAATCAGGATGGGGAAAACCTGGAATTCTCCTTTCTGTAGAGACAGAGGTGAAAGAATGAGCCTGGCTTCAACCCAGACACAAACCTCCACACCCCCAGGCCAGAGAGAGCAGGGAGGTAACGGTATCAGGAACCTTTAACAGACCAGGCTTGGCACTGACCTACTGCATCTGCAGCACCAGGCTCTGCTTTGAGCTGGGCGGGCTGGGGGGGCACAGGACTGCTGTTGTTTTTGACAGGGTCTGTGCTTGGAACAGAGGTAGTTTCTTTCCGAGAAACTTTGGAGAGCGGCGGCTCCTCCACCGCGATGCCGCTCTGCCGCTGCCGCCGCCGCTTCTTGCTCCACAGCTCGTGGCAGTCCTGCCAGTGCGGGAGGCTGGAAGAGAACAACACTCGGCAGTGAGGACACACAGCAGTGTGGAACAGAACCATAGAATAGTTCAGGTTGGAAAGGAGCTTCAGATCATCCAGTTCCAAGCCCCTGCCATGGGCAGGGACACCTCACACTAAACCATGGCACCCAAGGCTTCGTCCAACCTGGCCTTGAACACAGCCAGGGATGGAGCATTCACAACCTCCCTGGGCACCCATTCCAGTGCCTCAGCACCCTCACAGGAAAGAATTTCCTCCTTAGATCCAATCTAAACTTCCCCTGTTTCAGTTTGAACCCATCACCCCTTGTCCTATCATTCCAGTCCCTAATGAAGAGTCCCTCCCCAGCATCCCTGTAGGCCCCCTTCAGACACTGGAAGCTGCTCTGAGGTCTCCCCGCAGCCTTCGCTTCTCCAGGCTGAACAGCCCCAACTTTCTCAGCCTGGCTCCATACAGGAGGTGCTCCAGTCCCTGAGCATCCTCGTGGCCTCCTCTGGACTTGTTCCAACAGTTCCATGTCCTTTTTATGTTGAGGACACCAGAACTGCACACAATGCTCCAGGTGAGGTCTCACAAGAGCAGAGTAAAGGGGCAGGATCACCTCCATCAACCTGCTGGTCACACTCCTTTTGATGCAGCCCAGGATACGGGGTAACCCTCAAAGAGGGCAGGAAGTCATTAGTGCTGCAGGACAAGCATGGATATTCCAAGACGGGGCAAAGCAGTAGAACTGGATGGGAATCATTTCACTTGCACCCAGATCTCCCTCCCGGCTGGACTGGGTTAGCCATAATGCACACAAGCTTGCCAAGCTGAATCTGGTAGCTTTAAGGAATTAGTTGCCTTTAGTAACTCTAAAGGGAACCTCAAAAGCTACTTGCACCCAGTAAGAGCAGAGCTTTATCCCTTGATTACTGGAGTGGGAGAAAAGAGCCGCATGTGACACTGCTCAACAGCCCCTGAGTCAATTAGCAAGTGGCACAAACAAGGCCTAGCCAGTCCCCCTGGCACACAGGACAGGGGGGATGCTACATGCTACTCTCCTGTATCCCCCAATAAGAGTTTTAGAGCACCTTGCAAGCATTAAACTGAGCTTTCTAACCCCAGCCTGATACCCAAGAGCACAGGAAGAGCTATTTGCTCAGCCATACAACAGAACACACAACAAGAATCCAGAAATCAGAACTCTGACTGACCTCCCCCCCACCAAGGGCAAGCCAGGGGGGCTCTTTCCCAAAGCTTGTTAGCAGGGAACCCACTGGAACTTACTCTGGAGGAGCCATCTTGCTGAGGTCAACATCCTTAAGGAAGTCGCTCTGCAGGGCCTGTTCTGCTGTGCAGCGCTTGCCAGGGTCAAGTGTCAGCATGTGGTCCAGCAGGTCAAGAGCAGACGAAGGAATGCTGGGGAGAGTTGGGAATACAGCTGAGTTCAGGGCTTGTTGTGAATAGGCACGCTCAGAGAGGCCCCTCAGGCCTTGCAGTCAAAATGGGTTACTACGTGGTGCAGCAGCTCAAAGGCATCACCAGAACAGGCATCAGATATGGGGTGTTTTCAGTGTAATTTCTGCTGTTTAGGAAGAGCAGCTCAGCTAGAAATCCCACGGGATTATCACACAATCATTCTCTCCCCTCAGGGAGCACGTCTCTGAGGTCAGCCAGCCTTAGCACTGTGGAACACAACACTGACAAGAGTGCTTTCCAGTGCAGACCCTGCCTAAGTGTCACGAGCCCTCCAGAAGGCACCTGTGGCAGATGAGGTGTTTAGAAAGAGGGACAATGACCCCATTCCAGCCTTATCCAGAAGGAGGAAACCCTCCTGGAGAGGGCAAGGAGGGGAAGCACTGCTTTACCCTGCCAGGTAGACTAGAGCTGAAGGAGAGCAGATGAGTTGCACATAACCCCCATGCAGGTACTCATCCTCTCCTCTACCAGGACTCACAAGGAGAACTCCTCACGCAGGCGCCTCCGGTATTGCTTCTTGGGCTTCATAGTGTTGAAGTAGGGCAGCTTGATGACATCTGGCCACACTGCTGGACAGGGGCTCCCACAGAGCCGGCTGGCAACCAGAAGAGCAGAGTATGGGCAGTGAGTGGAACACAGCCAGGAGGAGAAGAGGCCCCAACCCCAACTGCTCTGGCTTCAGCTGGAACAGTTGTTACTCTTCCTTAGCAACTTATGGTACCAATAACCTAGTTTTGGTTAATCACTTCAGTTATGGTGAGAAGAGGAAAAATGGTTATCTTTAGTTTATAAGCCACCCAACACATTTTCAGTGCCAGATGTAATTTAGGTTCATCACACACTCAACTAAACAGCAGCAAAGTTTCCAGACAGTGCCTTCATTAGCAGCCACACACCCCTAAATGCCCACCTATTCACATCTGCAGTTACCATCATTTGTTGCTCCTATTTTGCAGGCAGGTTAGAGAAAGAAGGCTCTCCTAACACAGAGCCTGTGTGCATGAGCAGTTTCTGCAGTACCTCTTCTCATAGGCATGCATGTGCAATGCTTTACCTGATTAATTCAAGCTGAGCCAGTTCCAGATTGGCTTGAAAAATAGGCTTCTTTGTAAACAGTTCCCCGAGGATACAGCTGGAAAGAGGAAAAGCAAGAGGTCACGACAGCAAACCCATGGGATGGTCGTTTGAACACTGCAGCATTTCTGTTCAGGAGCAGGTTTGCCTGAAGAGAGTTATTTGCATCAGGGCTTGTAGTTGAGGACTGACAAACTAACCTATGTGTACAGAGTCACTGATTCCACACAGCTGGGAAATAGCATTCACCACCAAGCTGGTTAACACTGGCTTCGTGCTTTAACTCTTTGCAGGGAAAGGTAGGACGTGGCAATAATGTGACAAGGAAATCAGCCAGGCAGCTCATTTGCCTTCAGGTCCAGCCCATTTCTCTTTGCAACTTTACTGGAGGGGGGGTATCTGCCTGCCCAAATCATCCTCAGCTGCCTGAAGCTTACTGTTTGTCATTGGCAAGCACAGGACACAGCCTTGTGCACACAAGGTTTGTACACACACCATTTGTACAGCTGAAAGAGAAAGAAAAGGAGGGAGGGGACAATTCTGGCTCAATCCTTACTACCTATTCTAAAGCCTTCTGACAGCAATGACAATCAGTGCCAAATTCTTTCCTGTGAGGGTGCTGAGGCGCTGGCACAGGGTGCCCAGAGAAGCTGTGGGTGCCCCATCCCTGGCAGTGCTCAAGGCCAGGTTGGACAGGGCCGTTACAGCCCACCCATACACTTGAAGCTACAGCCAGCAGAGTAAGCCTGTCACCCCTCCTTAGTGGTGCACCATGACCAAAGGTTGGCTGGTTTGGTTATTTGAACAGCAAGGATAGACACTTTTCATGCTCTTACATGTCAATACCAAGCAGGAGTTTTTACTAAGTGGTGTAGTTTTAGTCAGGTGACATATACCTATCTCCTCAAAGCACACAAGCTTAGAAGTCCATCCTGGGCAATGTTCAAGGCCAGGGTGGACAAAGCCTTGTGTGAGATGGTTTAGTGTGAGGTGTCCCTGCCCATGGCAGGGGGGCTGCAAGTGGATGATCTTAAGGTCCTTTCCAACCCAAACTATTCTATGATTCCAAGTATCCCTGTACTATCCCACCACTCTGCTTTGCTGGAACAGAGCTTCAGAGATCAGCTCAAAGACCAGCTTCCACGTGCTAATAGTCACAGCCCAAACAGGACAAAAGACACAAGGCAGGCACTTACCCACAGCTCCACACATCTATGGCGGGTGTGTAACGCTCCTCACCTAGCAGCAACTCCGGAGGTCGATACCATAACGTAATGACTTTGTTGGTGTATGGACGGCTGGAATGCAAGACACAAACACAGAGTGAGGCCAAGAGCCACAAAAATCCTTATAAACTCTAATTTTGACTTCCAAACGGCAGAGTTTGGCACAGAAGTAGATGCAGTGGGCTTTCAAGTGCCAGCCTTCCACAGCATCTGCCTGAGTTACATAGAGCTGGTGAGCTATCAGGGATTTCAGGTCTGCCTGTATGCAGGTAGCAAGCTCTAGGCACCCAAGACTGAAAATCCTGACCTGTAAAAGGCAGCAGGAGGCTGCCATGGCTGAAGAGCAACTGATCTCAAAGCCAAACATGGGCCAGGGCAAGCAGAGAAGATGTTTCTGCTCCTTATCAGGTGGTTTCCCTAATGGAAAGCTATTAATAGCAGCCAGGAGTATATTTCTACAACAGTTGGAGCTCCATTATACCACTTAACACTGGAAATCACTCCTCAGGCAATGCCAGGACTTCCAAGTGAAGTGACTATGTAGGTATTAAGAAGAAAGGAGCTCATCCCACCCATGGAAGGCCTTTCCCCCTTCCTCCCATGCCTCACCTCTCCTCTGAGCTGTAGAGTCGGGCGAGTCCAAAATCTGCAAGCTTGATTTGCCCACTGAAAGACAAAAGACAGTCACTGCTTTGAACCAGAGCCAGACTCACACACTGCAACAGGAAAAGGGAATGAAATCCCCCATGTAGTAGGAAGGCCCACCAAAGCAATGGGAGCAGTAATTACTTTGGAATATACCACTGTTAATTTTCCAGATCCTATTTAATGCTTAAAAAAAAGACCCAAAAAGAAAAGGCAATAATTCAGTCTCATCTCTACCATGAACCCTTCCCAATAGGCCAATGTCCCAGGGACCTTTTCTAGATGGATATCCAGACACGTGGATGTGATTATGTGCAGCATTATTCTCACAGGCTTAAAGTTTTCTTATGGGTATCCAGATAAAGACTTGAGGTTTAACAGCAAATGAGTAATTGTGATGTATTCTGTGATGAGCTGTGTTAGTGCCAAACACTATCTAGAGAGGAGAGAGCACTCACAGAGAGCTGCTCCTTCGTACCTTAACCCTCAGTGGTTTCCCTGCATACAAGTGCTTCCAATAAACAGGAATTTTGCCAAAATACCATGGAGACCAAGTTTAGAGCCCCATTTATTGCAAGTCAACATGAAAATTAGCTGTAAAGAGCTGCAAAACAGTGCAGAGAGTGCCACCAGCACCAAGTTCGGATGAAGGTTGGTGGGGCTGTTCACCCTTACAGCAGCAGCACCCAGGAAAGCCACTGCTTCATCACAACCACCCACCACACCATGTGGAAACACACAGGGTTGGATTCCCCATAGGATCAACACCTCCTGCTCCAAACCATACTCAAGGTGAATGCAGAGAGAGGGCAGGGAAGAGCTTGGGTTGAAGTGTTTCTATTCCCACGTTACCTGTTGTTCAATAAGATGTTGGAGCACTTGATATCTCGATGAAGGAAATTCTTCTTGTGGCAATAATCCAGCCCCTCCATTAACTGTTTCATGAAAGACTTGATATGGTCCTCTGAGAAATGTACCAAGCCAGATTCTAGCAGCCCCATTAGGTCATGGTCCATGTACTCAAACACAAGGTAAAAGGCACCTGGTATAATAAAGAGAGAAATCATTTAAGACAAGGAGAGACAAAGAGGAGGGGAAGTGGATTCAACTGTTGAAATAGCCTTGCTGGTGTTTTGTTGGCATTTTCTATAACACACCCTTGTGATACTTAGGGCTTCCTAGACGCCCTAAAAGACTTCTTTTTGCTCCTTAACAGACAAAAGACCCAACACAACCAAGCAGCCCCCAAAATGAATTCCTTTGAAATCCTGGGCACATTTCCCTGGCTGTTTTGGATTTGTTTCTTTTAAGCTAGTTAAGTTTAAGCTACCCTGCCAGGTAGACTAGAGCTGAAGGAGAGCAGATGAGTTGCACATAACCCCCATGCAGCTACTCATCTCTACCAGGACTGAGATCACTTGACCTGATGTCTGTGGTGTTCCCTGCTCCCTCATGGAAGAGAAGGCCCCAAACGACAGCTAGTGGGATGCTGGAACATCTCCCTCTTCCGCAGTGACAGAGGACAAAACTCATCTTGCTGTTAGTAAGGTTTTTGCCCCTAATTAGTGTTAAAAGTGATCCTGTAAAGGCTTTCTTTGGGACCCTCCAGGAATGCAATGCATCCTTTTAAACCTGTGTCTACCTTGGCTCTGCAGTGTGACACCTCACTTTAACTGGAACCTATGCTTTGAATCCAGACACCAAACTGAGCTATGTATCAAGGAGGAACCCAAAGAAAGAACACCTAGACCCAGAACAAACACTAACGGATTGCATCAGCTCTTTGGCTGATGAAACCCACAGCCTGCAGCAAGTGCTACCTTTGTCCTTCTTGAAATCCAGTGCATCTTGTTTGTCCGTGACAATCTCCTTCATGTTCACCACGCTGCGGTGGATGAGCTGCCGCAGGATCTTGATCTCGCGGATGGCTGTGATGGGGAAACCTTCCTTCTCGTTGTCCAGCCGCACCTTCTTGAGAGCCACCAGCTCCCCTGTCGGGACAAGGCAGTGTCAAAGCCTCCACACACAGCCTTGGTGGGATTCCAAGGGGAAGTTGGGTGCTATGGTTTAGTGTGAGGTGTCCCTGCCCATGGCATGGGGGTTGGAACAGGATGATCTTAAGGTCCTTTCCAACCCGAATTATTCTATGATTCTAAGTTGAAAGCAACTAAGGTAAAAATCACTGCCACAACTCAAGACAGGGACACCAGTGCTCCCCTCATCTGCTTCAGTGTAAGGTCACACAAGTAGACATAAATTAACCATGGAAACCACTCCACAAGCTCTGCTACAACACTGTGGCCAGAAGGGGATTCTTCCCCTCTGCTGAGGGAGTCCCCCCCTGCAATCCTGATCCAGCTCTGGGGCAGCAGCATGAAAGGGATGTGGAGCTGCTGGAGCCAGGCCAGAGGAGGCCATGGAGCTGCTGCGAGGGCTGGAGCAGCTCTGCTCTGGAGCCCGACTGAGAGAGCTGGGCTGGGGCAGCCTGGAGAAGAGAAGGCTCCTGAAGGGGAGACCTTAGAGCAGCTCCAGTGCCTAAAGGGGCTGCAGGAAACCTGGAGAGGGGCTTGGGACAAGGGATGTAGGGACAGGCCAAGGGGAATGGCTTGAACCTGCCCGAGGGGAGACTGAGCTGAGCTCTTAGGCAGAAGCTCTTCCCTGTGAGGGTGCTGAGGCGCTGGCACAGGGTGCCCAGAGAAGCTGTGGCTGCCCCATCCCTGGCAGTGCTCAAGGCCAGGTTGGACACAGGGGCTTGGAGCAAGCTGCTCCAGTGGAAGGGGTCCCTGCCTGTGGCAGGGGGTTGGGACTGGATGAGCTTTAAGCTCCCTTCCAACCCAAACCAGTTTGGGATCCTGTGATTCCTGTGATCACCTGACCACACAAACTGTACTCATAGCAGTGATTTCACAAGCAGGGAAAGTAGAGGGGCGCTAACAGGATTTCAAAGCTTCTGTTCTTTTGCCCCTTTTGCAAGCACCTGATGTAAAAACTCCAAGGCTGGAGCTATTTCTAGTTCTACAGGTATTCATTACTAACAAGCAACACCACTAACGCTGGAACGGGTTTGAAGCACACCCACAGCAACGAGACCTTCAAGTGGAAGCAACCTGAAGCCACTTGGCATCCTTACCTGTGTCCTTGTCCTTGGCTTTGTACACCTGCCCATATGTCCCTTCTCCAATAATCCCAATGATGTCAAACTTGTCCACGCATCGCTTCCCCCAGTCACTTTCCGTCTGTCTCCTTTCCCCATACCGAGGACAACAGATTCTGGAAAAGGGAAGGCACCAAAACCATGCGAGTTTGGATTTGAGCTGTGTTTCAAGGAAGGTGTAGCCAGCACTCAGTGTACAAAACACATGGGGTTTGTTGTCAGGGAAGCTCTATACGCCTTGCAACACAATCATGCCTGAAGAAAAGGTGTACACCTCTTGTTTGGAATAGCAAACGTCTGGTAGCACCAAGAGCTTTCTATAGGGATGCTCATCAGGAGGTTTCTTTGCCCTGCAGGCACTGCTAAAGTAAAGGATGTGGGCACCTTCAGGGAAAACGTGGCTGGAGATTGGATCTGAAACACTCCAGCAATTCCTACCACTGGAAGGGTCAAAGGGGAAGACAACAGAACCCATCACAGCTTCAGCAGAGAGCCTGAACCAGGCCTCCCTTTGGCTCACAACTTCCACAACCTCCTCGTCCTCCCAAAGTGTTCATTCTCACAGGGATGAGGCAAGAGGCCTTCAGCTGTGAGTGGTGCAAGTGAAAAACAACCCTCAGGAAACAGTTCAGACCCCCTAAGACAACAACAGAAATATGAACTTGCTCTCTCCACGTTTCACTTCCCTCAATCGAGAGCACTCAAACGAGCCTGGGGACAACGAATGGATACAAGTGAATTAAGTCTGACTCAAGATCTATAAGTAAGTGCCCATTAAGTGTTCTCCCCATCCAATCAATGGTGGGGAGGCTGCTGAGAGCTGGCAAAGCAGCTGCCAGGTTCCATTTCAAATGGAAGAGCTCATTCAGCTCTTCAAGGAGCGCTGCGGTTACACTCGAAACCTAAAGCTTTGGAAACCTAGACCAAGATGTGCGTGGAGAGACATTAAACCCAACAGCTCCAACAAGCCAACAGAAGAGACAGAAAGGCTCTTACTTTGGTCTCTTTTTGAAGGGTTGCTGAGGTGGTGTGGCTGCCTTTGGTTCCGGGGAGTCAGGAGGAGATGGATCCCCTCCAGGAAGCTCTGGGGGGAGCGGGAGGTCCGTGAGTAAGTGTCGTGGTCTCTGCTCTCTATCTTTCTTCACAGGTTTTGGAGGAAGAATCTCTTTTGGACTAAACTCCGGAAAGTTAATACAACACAGAAGTCAGACTTAAGAGCCAGTGAGCAAACAAAGCCAGCCTGCTGCAGGACAGGTCGAGCACATGGTTATGAGCCCAAGTTACAGTGCCAGAATGAGCACAGCCAAACAGAAACCTTCAGGTTTACAGTGATAATACACCAGGGTTAGGTTTGAATGTGCCATTGTCAACTAACCACCCAGCTCTGCAGCTAGAACCTGCATAAATAAGGGGTTATGGTGAGTTTCCTGTAAGTCCAGGTTACCCCCAGCCCCCACTTTCCCCCCTTACTTCCTCTATTCAGTCCCTTTACCATACCGAAATTAAATGCATGACTTGTTAAGGAGCACTAAAAATACAAACCCAGAATGACATCTCTCTACATCACTGACTTTTAACTTCTCAGCCAGCACCCAAATGTAGCTCTGACTTGTGAGTACTGCCAAGACACCCAAAGGGGACTTTAAACAACCAAGTTACCAACAGCATCCAAAGCTTGGCTTTGACAGGCAGAGCCTAACGCCTCTCTCCTGCATGCAGCAGGGAGAATTCCAAGGTCTGAATAGTCAGGAATTCTTCTCCATGCACATCTCCAGCAGGAAAGGATGAAGAGACCCAAACATCCTCCCAGGGCTGTTTTCAGGGCAGGCAGCAGCAGGTTTGCTCTTTGCCAGCACTGTCAGGTCTAACATGGAAACTACACCCCCCCACCAATGGAAGTAGGTCATTTTCCCAGTTTTCTCATCAGGCACTGTCTAATCCCCACAACAACCTCTTGTGGAACAAAGTTAAGAAGGACACAATTGTGGCCCTGAGCTTGGATACCTCCTGTAAAAGATGGGGGAGCAGCCTTCTCCCACTGCTAAGAAGCCACCAGGGCTGCAGAACTAATGGCACATCATGAGGGAAAGCACTCACCAGATCCCAGAAACACCAGGAATGGGAGAGCTGCATGGGCTGAGCTCCCCCTCCATTAACCACACATGTGCAGAAGAACCCCCAGCCAAGGCAGAATCCTGGTTGAACCTCAGAAGAGGTTCTGCAAAGCAGGACCCAAACAGGGCCTACAACTGCACACAGGAGATGGGAGACTGTTCCAATCAGGTTTTGCTTTCTTTATGGCTTCCATGTGTACCTGAAGCACTGATCTGATCACAGAATGGTTTGGGCTGAAGGGACCCATGGCAGGGGGTGAAACTGGATGAGCTTTAAGGTCCCTTCAACTCAAAGAGGACTGGGGTTCTTTATTTTGAAGTGAGAAAGCCCAACAAATCCTTCAGAGCATTGAATGCAACCTCAAACACAGAGCTTGTACTGTTGGTGTCTACACAGCCTTTCCTCTCCTCCCACTGCATCTCCTGCTAGGTGAAGCAGCCCACAGTGCACCCTGACTGCTGTGCAGTCTAAAGGCATTCCAGAGGTGATAGCAAGCAGCAGGAAAGGATGGAGAGTCTCCACCTGAATGAGGCATATCTGGTACTTGGACACATTTAAACACGTTTCAATACCCTGTGCTTCCCACAGGCTCAGAGCTGGAGATTCAGCATGGAAAATTAAAGCCTAGCCACAAAAGTTGTGTTCCTATGTATGAAAGCAGCTGAGTAAGAGTGAGCTGCTGCTCAATGAGGGCCACCAGACTCAGCAAAACGAAGCAGGATTTCCCATCCTTTCATTGGGGAAGGCAGTGGAAATCCAGTTACTAAGCATAGCAACCAGCTGCAGGATCACCCACATGCCTCAGTTCATAGTGATGGCAGAGATAAAGCACACTTGGACAAAACTGAGCCACACCTGGGTGGTATAAAAAGGCCAAACCCCTGGATTTGCAGAGCAATCCCTGGTTTGGGAATGAGGGAACACAGCAGCAGAATCCTGCTTACCCTGCCATTTGAGGGGGGAAACCTGCAGGCTGGGAAAAGCTGCTGCTCATCACAGATACAGTTAAACAAGTGCTTGCTGAACATTACATAGCTTTGGAGGGGCAGAGACAAGCATGAGCCTAACTTCCACATTGACTGAAGTGACAGCATCACCCTCGTTTACAGGGATAGCAGAAAAATCACTTCAGTGAATGAGAAACTGTAACATAACCATGTGCACTTCACCCACAGGGTCATTAGACCAAGTCATAACCGCTGTGTTAAGCACTAGCCATTAAACCCCATGCTTTACTAACCAACAAGATACCTAGGCCATCTTCAGTGATGGCTGGAAAGACACACAAGCTAAGCAGAGGAAAACGTATCTATGCTGATGTTAACAACACAGCAACACATTAACAGCCACAAAAGGGGAAGCAGCTTTTCCTCCTCTCCACATCCACTTTGGCTCTTCTGTTCCTTTCCCCTTCACCAAAAGCCACCCCCCAGGAAGGTTTTGCAGCCAAGTTCATATTAAAGCCCAGAGCCACAGCAGCCAAGGCAGGAGCTGCTCTTATAGGACAGAATTGAGCCTGTGTGCTTTGGTTAGACACAATAGGAAACAGAAAGATGAAGTAGGTGCAGCCTCACCCTTCCATTTTTACATGAACACCTACTTCATAAGCAGTAAGGATTGTATTAATGACTCAACAGTGCAGTTAAACCAATGGCAGTTTCATGCCCAGCCTGCATGACCGATGCATTTGGAACCACCATCACTCTGGTTTGTGTTCTGGTATAGGACTTGTTGAGCTGTTCCCTGTTATTTAAGTACAGGTTTTGGAGGCATTCAAAAAGCAATTTCAAGATAAGCGTGTGCAAAGGGCTGCAACAAAGGGGTGGATCATGCCAGACCCATGCTGTATGAACAAAGAGTGATGTGAAACCTTTACTAACCACCATTAAATCAGCAGCCAAACCTCTTTTTCCCACCGAGATAAAACATAACTACTGCATGGGACCATAAAACTCTCCACATAAACCTGACAAGGCCAAAATAAGGACTGGGGCCATGCAATAATGCAGTAGTCTTGAGTGTACTCTGCAGGATGAGGATAAACTGCCCAACCACCCCAAAGAAGTGGTTTATCTCAACGTTTTGCTTTTAAATGCAACCAGGAGGCTGTGAGGTGACCTTACCTATCCAAGTCATCTTCCCCAACTAAAATAGGGGGGAGCGGAAGCGGAGGCAACGTTGAAGTTTTCAGGTGCGGGATAGCAGCCGTCACAGACACTTGTGTTTTTGTAGCGACTTGGACAGAGGGCTGAGAGTTCACCTGAGAGGATAAAGTAGACGTCCTTGGGTGGGAAGAAGATGGCAAAGGTGTTGGGGCTGAAGTAGGGACCTGAACGGGAGGCAGTTGGGATGGTGGCAAAGGTGGAGCTGCAGGTGATGGAGGCAAAGGCGGCAGCGGCGGGGTTGGAGGTGGTGGTGTGGTTGTGGGCAGAGGAGGAGGAGGTGATTTTATTGAGGGTAGTGGGGGTGGAAGCTCCTTCTCTGCTGTGTCTGTCTCTTTTGGAGATAGGAGGTCCTCTACCACTGCTACAGGCTTCGAGTCTTTTGCTCCCGTCTGTTTGGAATCTCTGACTGGAACAGGATGTTTCCTCTCCGAGTTCTCCTCTGCCTTGGCTTTCGCTGTCTCTGCAGCGGTTTTAGTCTCTGCATTGGCGTGCAGTAAATTCCCTGACTCCGCGTCTGAAGACGACTTGTCAGATTTAACACTTTTGAGGGCCTTTTTCGGCTCCGTGGTGGGCTCCCTCAGCTCAGCCAGGCTGTTCTCCTTCCTCGCCAGGAACACGGGAGAGCCCTTCGCCTCCTTCCCATCCACCCTGGCTGCAGCCGCCGCCGCCGCCGCTCGCTCCTTCTTCTTCCTGCTGAGCTCTGCCCCGAGACTGGAGTTCAGTGGGAGCCTCGTGGGGGAGATACTGGAATGGCGACTGCGGGACCCAGACCTCTGCTTCTTGCTGTGAGATGAAGAGTGCCTTGAATAGGCAGGGCTTCGGCTTCGGGACTTCACAGACTTCCTGTGGGGGGGACAGGGAGAGGATGAATGAAACGAAGCAGCTCTCACCCCCTCAGCTACTCACCAACACCAACAGCTCGCTCTGGAAAGAACTCCCATCAGCTCAGTACCAGAATACCTGTGAGGGAAAGCTACTGAAAGGAGTTTAGAGGCTAAAGCAAAGCAGGTTTCAGGTCATCACTCAGCTTTCCAATGGCAGGACCATCCTCATCATCACACTGTTGAAGGCAGAAAGGAAGGATGAAGGTGGGCCGAGCCTCAAGGCGAAAGGAAAACACAGATGCAGGCACTAAAGAAAAGAGTTTAGGAAGTTTTTCCAGTTACTATGTACAATTTTAAAGCAAACAAGGGATAAAATACAACTGCTCTCATGGGAATCCTGCCTCAGAGAGCACCTCACTTCAAGCCAATCCCCATCTCCCTGGTCCTTTTACGATCATCAGAACTCAGATTTGCACGTTGTGGTTCAGGAGAAGTAAAAACCCAAATCCACCAGGAATTGTCCTTCTGCTTGAGGTATATCCAGAGGGCCTCTGTTAAAATAAGCAGGCTCTACATGAGGTGGATGTATGCAGAAATAAAGCCACACTGACACCTGTAAGACACAAGCAAGGCAGGAAACACCTTGCACCATAAGGGTATGCACCAGAGCACAGGGTGAACCCAGCAGTAACCACCAGCTGATGGAGAAACAAGCTCAGGAACAAAATGGAATTGGAAACTGGTACTCCCAGTGTCCAGGTCACAATTCCTGACAAGACACAACTGCTTCCAATGAGGATTTTGGAGGTTACGAGGCAGCACACTTTATCTGTACATGTGATAGGCTCTGAGGGGTTTAGAAGCTATGTGAGCCACAGGAAAACAAGGATGTTTTGAGATCAGACTCTATGGATACTAGAAACTGCTCAAAGCTTATTCTGATTGCATGAGTTATTCCTCAGGAGTACCTAGTTGTGAAAACAGGGACTTGCCTCAAAGCAGAGTTCCACAGTAGTTCTAAACCCCACCTAACAGCAAGCAGGTTTGAACACAAGCTCCCTTGGAATGGCACTCAGTGTAATTTACTCTTTCTAGTAGACATTACTACTACCCTGAGACAGCAAATGGCTGGAAAATAAACTGGACAACTGAGACTAAAGCAAAATTCCTTTGTGGACACCACCAGCACCTGCAAGGATGTGAAAACAGGGCCTGGCCACACAGAATCCTCATCCCTTGCTACACCAAGCATTTTGCCCTCTCACTATTACGTACAACCCCAAACCTCCAGCTACCAGTGGTCAAAGAGCACAAGTGTAGGTAGGCCTTACCTTTAGCCTTACAAAATAAATATACAACCAGAAGGAGGAAAACCAAAGTGTCACCTGAAGTCACTCAACTGTTTTCCTCTTCCATTACATGTGTTTCTGTAATGGGAATGTGCCTCAGGATCAGCTCTTTTCCCTGAGGTTTCTGCTTCAAGAGTTAACGGTCTCAGATGCAGTTTACCCCTTGGGTAGCAGTTCACCTGCCACAAAACAGGGATGAAAACACAGTTCTGGTTTTGCTCAAAGACCCTTCCACATTGATGGCAGCATTCCTACTGCAGGATGTTGCTTACTGCAACCACACATAGTTCTGGGGTTAGCATTCCCTATTACAATTCTTTCAGGTTAAGATTAAGATGCTGCAATACTCGGTTTCATCCTGTCTTCCATCCTCCCCATGATTACTCCCCAACAGTTACTCCAACTCAGCTGGTTGTAGAGCAACATTCCCAACAAGATCACTCAGCAGACCTGATATAAACTTCCCCGGAAGTCCAGTTCTACCTCGTTCCATCAGGACTGAAGCCATATATTCCTGCTCCATGAGCATCACTTGGGCTTTCCCCTCTTTGGTTGCCCAATGATAACCTACAGTTATCTACAAAGAGCTCTTTCTTCTGAAGCCCATTTTCCAGCTCCTTTGTCAGAGCAGAGAGGCTCCTCTGCTTTTCCAGCAGTTAAAACCAGTAACAGGTCACTCCAGACCTTATCTCATATGAGAACACAACAGCCCCACCAGCTTTGGATGATCTTCCACAGCTTTTATCACTGCTGGAGCTCTCAGGAAAGATACAACAAGGCAGAAGATGCCCAGGCTTTTTGAACATACTCCTTCCATCCTCTGGAAAGCTCTTCTGGCTTCACCTGAAGCCAGTCAGCACTTTTGCCCCTTCATGTGTTAAGACAACTCTCTATGGCTTTCTTACCCTGCTAAGATCATCAGGGATAGGAGATTCAGTCTCACTGCAGTTCTTCCTGTGGTTAAAAACGCCCTGAGGCTAAACACCACCTTGTTGTACCTCTAGCACTGGAAAGCAGAAGTGCAAGATCCATGACCACTGCACATTAACCCAAAGCAGAGCTTATGGCTCATCTGGAAATCCAAATGAAAAAGCATTATTAGATTAATTTCATTAATACAATCAGAAGATTAGAATGGGGTTGGGGAGAGGGATTGCTGGAACCTTCCAGCCCTCTTCATGCTAAAACCAACCACAGCTCAGAGCCTTTGGCTATGAGACCCTGAATCAGCTGGCAGAACAAAGCCCCATGTCTCCTCACTTCCACATTAACCATTACACAAGCTCCTAGGAACATCTACAGACATTAAAACATTTCACCTGCTCCAAGCCACCACAGAAGGCAAGAGTAACATGGAAATGAGTGCTTGGGAAGCCTGACTGCATGCCCCATGCTCAGGAAACAAGCTCAATCAGGAGGCAAATGCTTCTGATTTATGAACACCCAACGACCATTTGCTGTGGCAAGGGTCTGTGTAATAAGGGCCACTACTACAGCATGTGCACACACTCACACTTAGCTGCTATACTTAGAGCACAACCCACTTCCAGCAAGCTGAAAGACTCTGGAATTTCTTCTTCTAGTTTTAGCTGCAATGCCAACAGTTGCTACAGGGATTGGGAAGGCACATCTGTTCTTTTCCCTACTGACCCAATCAGCCTCATTTGCTCCTCAATGGAAAGCAAGTTGTTTTGCACAGCCATTTGAAATGCAAACATTCTGTATTTTCTTCCCATCAGCACTGCAAGCACATGGATTCAGTTTCCTAACACTGGGGTTTGGTCGTGGAAATGAAAGAAAACACAGAAGGCACTGAAAATACCCCCCCAACTCCTATATTGGCAGTCAGTGGAAGCCACTCAGTGGCCCAGAAAAGCCTGGGTTACCTCCTCTGAAGGATTTCAGCCACAGTCAGGTGTTCACTGCCTGAGTGTGCCAGTTACAGACCTTTCCTCTCCCAAACTGTCCCTCTGCAGGAGCCAACACAAGAGGTCACAGTCACTCCCCAGCTGCTCCGGTGCCCACTCAGCTGCCCCCATTCCACACTCACCTGCAGCACATCCACCAAAGCTGCTCCTGGTGGAGAGCTCCTGCACAGCCCTCAGCAGAGGGGCAGCCCCACCTCTGGCTTCTGAGACACCTGAGCAGGAGCTTGCACCAACTGCCTCAGCACTGAGCTTCAAGCTCAGCAAAGCAAACACCTGAATTACAACTTACAGTTTGTCTAACATATGGAGAACACATTAACCCCCTTCTTCCCTTTACTAGAATCCCTTCAGGCAGATGTCTTCTCAAGGCATAATCCATGTTTTCTGTTCTGCTTTACAAGCATGCATCACTCAGTAAGTTATCTGCCCAGGAAGAAAAGAGGACTAGGTTACCAAATGAAGGCCAAGATTCAGAGAATTCAGTACAAGCTGAGAGTAAACAGTCAGTAACCTTTGGAATCGCTTTTGCTTTGGGGTCTAGCATTTTGCCAGGGAGTCAAAGATGCCCTTAAGAAGTTTCTTGTGAGGGCATGGAAGTTCAGAGGAGCACCACAAAGCTGCTCCCATCATTAAGATCAAGTCAGAAGCAACCTAACCTACAACAAGAGTAAGCTTCAGGTTCTGCTGGGAAGTGGGAGTAACCTGGGGGGAAAATCCCCACCTCTGAGCATAAGACCCTCGTTTCTACATGGTTTCTGCCTGCTTAGGCTGAACATGGACATTTAGCAGGTGCTGTAACACACGATTATAGCATGAAGTGTGCATCCATTGCCTACTGCTGTATTCTTACTCTTGCCAATGTATTGGCAAAGAGTCTGTCAGAGCAGTGCCACCACGGCAAAAAAGATTGAGGGGAGGGAGAAGAAAACTATCAAGGACTATCCCTCAGGTGTACATGGAGAAAACAGGGCAGAGCAGGAAGAGCCCAAAGGGAATTCTCCCTCTGTAAAACCACACTGGAGTGAGTAGATTTTATGTAACAGCATCTGGGGTGCTAAAACCAGTGCAGCTCTCACAGCAAGGACAAAGGCATCATTTCAAGCCCACTCTGGGAGATAGCATTCCTGAAGTTAGGAGCTCTAGTAACAAAGGTCAGATTCCAAAAGCCCTGTGGTCTTTGGGAAGTGCTCATCACAAACACACTCTGGAGGCAGCCTCTTCTCTTGCAGCTCCTGTTTTGACCAGAGGATGCAGCTACCACAGCGTGGAGCATTTCTACAGCCACTGTATTCCAGGTCACATCTTAACTGCCATGGAGCTACCACCAAAGCTCTGCAGTACCCATGGTGACAACTGGGAACTCAACATAAGCTGAAGCTAGGAAAGAAGAATCATTAGAGTGTTTGTGCATGTAACAGGGTGATTGATGAACACCTGAAACTGAACACACAGAACTACCTTCAAATAACAGCTTCCTTCTGTGGGAAAGTTATTGATTAAAGAAAAAGGAAAGAAACTTATAGTTAAACCAAAATCTTTAAGGTCCCCTCCAACCCAAACCATTCTATAAGTTAAGCCAAAACACAGCTGGTTCCTAGTGGCCCTGGGAATGCCCTGATTTCAGGATGGAAGCAAGAAACTCCAACGCTGAGAAAGGGAAGTTTAGTCCAGAATGACAGAGCTCACATGTACTCAGCTTGGAGTGAAGGAAAAAAGCCTGCTCAGAAAGAGCCCACTGCAGCCTCCTGAAATGTGTATTCAAGCTCCCACTCATACTGAACAGCTCAAGGCTTCCTGAACCAGGTGAAAACGTTCTCCCTGGCTGAACCCCTCACAGGGAAGAGCCTCAGGAGCTGATCACAGCCCCCCCCTCCTTGCACCATGGCCACCTCAAGAGGTGGGTGTAACTTAATCCCAGGAGCTCATTCAGCCTTGGGCCTCTCTGCTGGGAGCCAACACCAATGCTGCCTCCCACCACCACCACCACCCGGGAAGGTGTTTTCCAAGGTGTGAACCACCCCTTCCAAAGGAATTACCACGACCCCAACCACAGCAATTCCAGGTAGCCAGCAACTCTGTGACCCATAGAGATGAGGAAGGGGGTTAAACCTCCCCGTACCCACAGCCACCCCAACATGCTTCCCCTTTCCCTGGGGTGAGGAAGACCACACTGAGAGCATGTACCTGGTGATGGGGCTCCGGCTCACGGAGCGCTTGGTGCCAAAGGGGCTGCTCGAGCGCCGGCGGCTGTAGGGGCTGGGGGACCTCCCGCTGTAGGAGCCGCTGCCTCTCTCGTAGCTGGACGAACGCCTCCTGTTATAGGGGCTGATGGACCTCTGCCGCCGGCAATAGGGGCTGGGGGAGCGGGTGTTGGACTGGTAGGCCACAGGCTCCTTGTAGGGCGGGCTGATGGACTGGCGGCGTGAGGAGCCACCAGGGCTTTTCCTGTAGGAATCGTAGTTACTGGATGTGTGAGAGCGGGGAGGGCTGAGGTCGTATTCCTGGATGTAGGAGGCTCCTGAAGGGCTGTCATCCAGTTTGGGGCTGTCAGACCATTTCCTGTGAGGGCTTCTGGATTTCCGCTTGGGACTGTCAATGGTTTTGTAACTTTTGGGAGCATCCCTTTTCCGATGGCTTTTACTGCGCTCTTTGTGGCTGGATTTGAGCTCCCGATCCTTCCTGGATTTCTCCTTGTGCGCTTTGGCTGACCGGGATTCCTTGTTGCTGCTCTTTGAGGACAATGACTTGGGATGCTCCTCACCCTCTAGGAGTCTCTTGGAAGATCCCGATATTCTCTCCTTGGTGGACCCAGACCTACTGGATGAATCCAGGCTCTTTTCCAACTTCCTCTCTTTCTCTGACTGTTTGCTCTTCATCAGCTCCCGGACGCGCTTGTGCTGATGGTGCCGGTGCTTCTGGGCCCTCTCGCTCCTGTCCGTTTTCCTCTCCTCATTCTCCCTCCTATCCAGCTTGAGGGCCACATCATCCGAGAAGGTATCCGAATCCGAACTGATGTCATCGTATTCCACCAGCGGCTTCATCGTCGAGCCCAAGGATGCTGTGGCCTCCTGGGCCGCCAGCGGTGACTCCCTGGAGTGCCTGGACTTGTGCCGCCGGTGCCGGGAGGCCGGCCGGTGCCTCTCCTTGCTGTTGGAACTGCCGCTGCCGGGTGCGTGCTGCGAGGACCCCCCGCCGCCCCCGTCCTTCTTGCCCCCATGTCTCTCCGGGTTTGGCATTCCTCCTCCTCCACTGTGCTCCGGAGAGCGGAGGGGGAAGAAGCCTCCGAAACCCCCAAACTTCCTCACACGCCCGCCCCTCGCACCATTCACACCGGCCTCGGCCCTCCCTGCCGCGGACACCCCCCCGCCGCTCCTACATGGGGGAGCGCGGCCCCACGGCTACGGGAGGCCCCGGAGGAGGCGGAAGGACGAGGGAAACGGGGCGGCAGGTACCGGGAGGGGAAGGGGACAGGGCCCCGCCTCACCGCCTCATCCAAGGGGCCCAGGCCCAGAGGGCAGCGCCGCGGCGGGGGCGCCCCGGGAAGGCGGGGCCTGGGCCCGCGATCGCTCTCCACCCCTCTCAGTCACCGGGAGCCCGCGGATGGCGCCGCCGGAAGGAGCGCGGGGCCCCGCGGCCGCTGCCCCCGGCCCGGCCCGGCCGGTCCCGGCCCGTCCCCGCCGCCGCCCCCTGCTCACTTCCCAAAGCGAAACGGGTCCGCGTCCAAGGGGGGCAACCTCGGCAACTTCTCGCGACACCCGGCAGCCTCTCGCGAGAGCAGCGACAGCGCCTCCACCCCTCACCCAGCAGAACGCGGATCCCGCGAGATCCTCTGGGGCTGATAAAGGTTGCTGGGGAGGGGGCGGTGCTCACTCGTCTTCTCGCGAGAGCTACGCCGCTCCCACTGAAAGCCTATTGGACGGGTGGAGGGGGCGGAGCTTGTGTACACCCACCTCTCCCCGCGCGCACACGCTGCTCTCGCGAGAGGTGGTGAGGTTTCCTTCCGCGCGCGCTCCCGCAGTCATGGCGGCCGCCGCTGTGTGAGGCCGGAGGGGCCCGGCCGCGGCTCCCCCTCCCCAGCCCCGTTCCCCTTCCCCTCCGCTCCCCGCGCCATTGCCGCGGCCCCGCTGCGGGCCGCACAGCTCCGGCGGCAGCATGAAGGCGGCGCCCGGCGGCGCTGAGGGTGAGTGAGGCGCTGGGGCTTCCCGCCGGCCCTGTGAGGAGACGGTGTGGGGAGGGGGGGGTCGCGTCTCTGAGGTACCGGTGACGGGCTGGGGCTGAGGGGCCTACACAGGAGGAGGAGGGCCGTCGGCTTTCTCCGGCTTCTCCCCGGCCCGGGCCTGTGTGGCTTCGTGCTGCGTTGGTGAGGCTCCAGCTGTGATGGGAGCTTCCCTGTGAGGGTGCTGAGGCGCTGGCACAGGGTGCCCAGAGAAGCTGTGGCTGCCCCATCCCTGGCAGTGCTCAAGGCCAGGTTGGACACAGGGGCTTGGAGCAAGCTGCTCCAGTGGAAGGTGTCCCTGCCCGTGGCAGGGGCTGGAGCTGGAGAAGCTTTAAGGTTCCTTCCAACCCAAACCAGGCTGTGTTTCTGTGGTCTCGCAGTTCTCTCCCTGTCCCCGGGCTTAACAGTACATAAATACCTTGAGGAGAGCCTAAAGCAGGGGGAGCAGAGCTCCCTTCAGGTGGGAACTATGGGCTATGGGTGCAAGCTGAAAGGCTCCACCTGAGCACTAGAAAGCACTTTATCACCAGCACAGGTGTGACGGAAGCTCCATCCTGAAGCCACCAGGACATGGGGCTGGGCAGCCTGTTGTCAGTGGCCAGGAGTCCTCAACTCTGTTGGCTGAACCGGCCAATGCTTGGTATTTGGTTAGTCACTGAGCCTCTCTCCATTCTTTTCTCTCATTAGGGAGATACTCTTTCCTGTTAGGGTGGTGAGGCACTGGAAGGGGTTGCCCAGTGAGGTTGTGAATGCTCCATCCCTGACAGTGTTCAAGGCCAGGTTGGACAAAGCCTTGGGTGCCATGGTTTAGTGTGAGGTATCCCTGCCCATGGCAGGGGGGTTGGAACTGGATGATCTTAAGGTCCTTTCCAACCCGAACTATTCTATGATTCTACATTATTCCTAAGAGTGGAACTTTTTCTAATAGCTTGTAGAGCCACGCATTGCAGATGGGAGTCAATGGGATGTGAAAGGTATTTTGTAAGCTTGAGTTGGTTTGAGGTTGGTGGAGATTTGTGCCCCCTCCAATTGCCTGCTGCTGCTTTCAGAGCCGTGCCCTGGCTCTAGAGCAGCACTGAGGAGCCTCCAGGCCTGTGTCTGACACCCACATGGGGCAGGAGTGTGTCTGCTCACAGAACCCACCACAACTGGCAGTTGGACCAATGTGGTTGAGGTTTTTGGTGAGGGAAGGGTGTGTGATGATCTTCAATGTAAACAAGCTGGAGGATTGGACGTGAGAATTGTGATGAGGAATGCAGGAAACAAAGCTTAACCTCACTTCTGTAGCAGTGTTTTGTACACTGTTACATTGTCCCAAAGAAGCTTCTGTCTCAGACCATGTATCTTCATGTTACGGTCCTTGAGGTTTTGACAGCTTGAGGTAGAGCCTACATAGTGAGCTCATGGGGAGAAATCAGCAGTGAATAGGTTTTATGAAATCACATTTAGCTTAAAGGTGGAAATGCTTTTCATTCCAACTGCATGACTGTTTTATTTGTAGCACTTCAAGCGTTGTCTTGTTCTATGTTCTCAAGAGTGCCCTGTCTTACAGAGACGGAGAAGCTGAACAAGATGAGCACCCTCTTGGAAAGACTCCATGCAAAGTACAACCAGAACAGGCCCTGGACAGAAACCATGAAGTTAGTGCGTCAAGTCACGGTGAGAGGTGTTGGGGTCTGAGCAGGAGCTTCCTGGAGCTCCTGGAGTGGCAATGGTGTTGCTTTGTTAGATCTCTTCTAAAGGGCTGCCCCTTGCTCTTTGGGGATTTTGGGGTTTGTAAAGCAATTTGCTCCCATTCAGTGATGTTCCAAACTCAGCGCTGGCCTTGGCAAATGAGGGTTTGAAATAGTGGGGGGAAGGAGGATCAGGAGGCAGGGGAGAGCTACAACAGCAATTTCTGCATGCACTGAGGTGTTAGAAGTGTGCCTGACTCCTTGTTTCTGTGTTGTCTCTCATGTAACTCTTAGCTTATGCCTACTTAAAAGTTGCTCCAGTCTGTTCTTCCTCTGAGCAAGTTGCTTAAAAGCAAATAAATCAATCCCAGGCCTGGTTTTGTTCCCTTTTTCCAAAGCAGATAGTGTTCTCCTACAAGAATCAAAAAGCTGCTGTAATTTGGGGACGAAATTAATCAGCTTTTCATTACCTCAGCAAACCTCCCTTGACTGAACTTGCAATGGCAATAACTCCTGTTACTGAGTGAGGCTCAAAAAGCTGTTTCTCTTCTCTCTGACTAAGGAAAAGCGCGTTGTGATGAACTCAGGGGGGCACCAGCACCTGGTGAGCTGCTTGGAGACACTGCAGAAGGCCTTGAAAGGTTGGTGCATCCTGTGCTCAGCAGTGGGAGGCCTCTGAATCAGGAGAGCAGTGAGGTGGCTGCTGGCACATCTCTGTTCGTCCTGTGTGTGTGCTTATGTTTGGGTACCTCCTCTTAGTGCCTGTGGAGACTGTCTGTGGTGGTTCTGTTGTGAAAGTAGAAAACTTGTGAGTGGGAAGTACTAAAACATGGAATGGTGAAAGAAATGGCTTTAGTTCCCTTTTTTGCACCTGTATGAGAGTTTGAACTTGCTCTTTACGTTGGCCTGGTGATTCTCCTGGAAACAGACCTGAATTTCACTGGGGGGAATAAAATCCCTTCTCTCCTTGCAGTTCTGGGAACGTTTGGTTCTCTCTGTTCAAGTTGTTCTGCTTGTGTTTTGAGTGCAGCTCATGTTGAATACGTGAAGGTGTGAGCAGACATGGGAGGGAGGAACTGGTTGAGCTTGGGTTTAATGCTGATGTCTCATTCCTGGGGAGGTGTTGAATCATTTCACTAAGCCTCGTTTTCTGCTCTCCCCATCTAGTGTCTTCTCTGCCTGCCATGACAGATCGCCTGGAGTCTATAGCTAGACAAAATGGGTAGGTCTTCTCCTTTAGTTGACAGCAAAGGCTTTCCCTGTTCCCCTGCACCCATCATGCTCTCACTGCTGCTTTGGTTGGGTTTTATGTGTATCTCATGGCAATTTCTGTTTTGTTTTGTATGGAAGCCTGGGATCTCACCTTAGTGCCAATGGCACTGAATGTTACATCACTTCAGACATGTTCTATGTGGAAGTCCAGTTAGATCCTACAGGGCTGCTGTGTGATGTCAAGGTGGCTCACCATGGAGAAAACCCTGTGGTATGTATCACTGACCAAGGTGAGGGTGATGTCTGCGTGGTTTTGACTCCCTTTGCTTTGATCACAGGAAATGGATTATATTTGATGTTTCCCTGCACCTACCTTACACCTTTGCTGCTTGTTTTAGTGGAAAGGGAAATCCTCTATGGGGTAATTCCTGTGGGTTAGTCTGGTTGATGTATGTGTGCGGGACCAGTTTACTGCTGGTCTTTCTTTCCCTCTGAGTGGTTTTACCAAAATCAGCTGTGGATGTTTTCACTTTGTTTCTGGAAGCAGGATAAGGAAAATAAGCTTAGAAAACTGAGATCTGCAGATGGGAAATACTAAAATGTGGAATGCTGAAAGGAAATTACTTTATTTCGCTCCTGTATATGGAGGAGAGTTTGAACTTGATGCTTGCATTGTCCACTCTTCTGAGAGCAGTTTTTAGTACCTCTGTATAGAAGATTACAGTTTTCAACTGAAAGCTTCATGATTTCAAATGAGTTGTTTGAGCAGAAAGAGGAGTGCTTAAATCTGTCACAGATTAGCTGAGAGACAGAACTGGAGCTGGAGCAGTGTGGAGTTGTGAGCACTGTGTTGCTGCTTAAGAATGTTCCTGTACTGATGTTTCACAGTTGCTGTGCTGCACAGGGACTGACATCACTGCGCTGACACTGATCTCATTCTATGTTCTTTCCTCTCCAGAGTTGTCCCGAGCTGGTGCAACATCTGAGGTGAGCATCAAGAGTTCATTGCGTTTTTGGCAGCCTCTCTTTGCAGTAGTTATCCCATGTTGGTTTAGGTCTGGAAATGCAAAATGCTTCAGAGCTATTCCTTCCCCACAAAGTCTCTCCATGCCTTCAGGGGGTTTTCTGGCTTTGGTTCAGCTCCTTCTGATCCCGAGTGCTGTGCCCAGTACCTTCAAAGCCACAGAGCAACCTTCCCCAGAATCAGTAAAGGTGGACCATGCTGAGAACATATTTTGTAGCTTCCATGTAGCAGAAGTCTCTTTTGAAGTGACTTTGTGTCTGTATTAATGTAACCTTTGAAAACAAACCCTTGTGTGTTACAAGTTTGAATACATCTTAACTTTGCCTTTCAGAGAGAAGAACTTTGATGAGTTTTCTAAGCACCTGAGGGGACTGGTGAACCTGTATAAGCTGCCAGGAGACAAGTAAGTCTAGGATGTATTTATTTGCTGCCAGAGTGACAAATGATCAAGTCTAAAGGCTCAGGCTGAGGGCAAGGCCTACAGATTCTCAGCCTGCACTTCTTTGCACAGTTCCTTTCCTTTG